ATCCCCCTCCCCCCCACCAAATTGTTTAACACAACTGTTAACGTCCTTTTTGTTTTAGTTTTTGGTGGTTGCCCCCAAAAGCAAACCCAAAAGATCGCTGCCGTGTTAGACGATCCCGCCTAACTTGTTCAGCAGCATCCACTGACCGCGCTCGTACATGATGCCCCGCACCCGCGCACTCGTTTGCCGCGCCGTCACCTCAAACTCCTGGCGCACCTTCCTGGCGTAGTACGCCTTGTCCGTCACCCGCAGCTGGGCGTGGCCGGCCTTCAGCAGGCCCCTGTAGAGCGTGCACGCCTGTTGCGGCGTGGGCTCCACCGGGGCGTGGTAGCGGCTGGCGTCGATGCGGCGCTGCTCCAGCCGCATCCGCCGCTCATTCGCGCGCAGGAAGTCCGGGCGTCCCTCCTTCCACCAGCGCCGCTGGCCCCCCAGCCCCCCGCGGGTCACGCGCAGCATCCTGAGCCCTAAATATATCTATTTTCTCCCCTCTCCCTCTCTCGCGTGTGCCTTCCCACCCACCCGCCTTCCCCCGCCAAGAAAGAAAAAAGAAACAAAAAGGCAACAACAACAACGACATACACGCACAAGGGAAATCAGCAGGAAATGCATGGGATTGCGACATCCACGCGGCGCACCGCCCTGCAGAGCACCGCGCCCCCGCACTTCAGTTGACGTCCCATTACACCTGCCAACGACATTCTATTCTTTGCATCTAAGTTATCCCCGCCCCCTCTCCCTACACACAGAGAGAAACACAGAGGGATGGAGAGAGAGAGAGAGAGAGAGAATGTAAGCAGCACTGCGTTTCTCAACGCTGCGGCCTCACGTGGACGGCGGCGGCGAGGGTGGCGGGTCAACCCACGTGACAACGCGTTTCCGCGCGGCGGGCGCCGCCTTCGCCGGCCGTCTTCCCTTCGCCGGCGCGCTGCGGTCCGTCACCGCGGCCCCCGCCCCCGACGCGTACGGATTCGAAAAGTGACTTGCCAGGAGCTGAAAGTTCGGCTTGCAAAGAAATTCGCGGTGGGCCGCCGCCGTTGCCGTGGCGTCGGCAAGCCGCTTCCTGTTGCCCGCATTCTCGTCGTGGCCGCCCAGCGGCGGGGAATAGCGCCTCCCACCTGTGCGACAGCACTGCTGCAGCCGCGGTCGAACCACCGCGGGCATTGCGTTCACGCGGAGGGGGCGGAGTCCTGAGGATGTTCGCCGCTGCGCGGCCTCTCGTCCATGACGCCGTGGGACGCCCTGCAGGATCACCAACGCCGCAAGGAAGTCGCCGTGCAGCGCCTCTGTGATGAGGCAGTAGGGAAGCAGGACCGTGCGCCAGCGGGCCAGCAGCTCCTCTCGCTCCAGCGCACCGGCAAGGAAGATGCGGCGGCGGTGCAGCATCTCCGCCAGCGCAACCCCCGCCAGCGTGCAGGTCTGCCGCAGCACCTGCCAGCGATGACGCTGGCTGAGCTCAATGAAGGTGCGGTCCTCGTGCTCCTGCTGCCAGAGCGCCCTCCGCGGGGTGCGACAGGAAGAGTTGGCCGCCGGCGCGCCTCCACCGTGCAACGACCGCAGCGAGGCACACACACGTGTACCTTGAGACGGCGCCGCTGTTTTTGCGCCTTCGGCAGGGCGCCTGCGCACAGCAGATGGGGGCCGCGACGGTGTCAGCGTCTGCCCGTCGGCGTCACCGTCGTCGCCCGGTATGCCAATGACGACGACCACGTCGCTGGCGCCGGCGTCGGCGTCGTCGTGGCTCGTGACGTCCGCCGCGGGGTGCACGCCGCTGCACGTGTCCCCAGCAACCGTGGGCGGGGAACGAGCAACACCACCGCGCGGTGCCTCGTTCCGTGCCCTCCTTTCAAAAGACTGGCGTTGCACTTCCTCCCGTTGCTGCTGCAGCAGCTTCACCTGCTGCTTGCGCTGCTTCCGGCACTTGCGGCGCTGCTCCCGCACACGGGACTCCTGCATCTCCTGCAGCTGCTGCTGCACGATCGCGCGGCGGTCACGGTACTCCTGCAGCAGCCACCGCTCGCGCAGCTTGTCCTCAAGGGCGAGGAATATCTGCCGGCGCCGCTTTGCCTCCACGTGTTGTAGGACGCTTCGCCCTTTTTGTTCCGTGGCAAACACCGCGCCCGCCGCGTCACGGCCGTCCGCCGCATGCACCCACGCCTCGCCCTGCGGCAGGGGCTCCGGCGCGGCGGCAGGCGCACGCGTCGCCCCTGCCCCGAGCAGCGCATTCAGCGGCGTGGCCGGCCAACTCGCGGCGGGGCTCGTCGCTTGCGTGGCGCCGTCCTCTCCGCCGCCCCCGCCCCCCGCGGCCTGCGCCTCCAGTCGACGGACGAGCTGCTCCCGCGTGACGTCGTGGCCTCGCCGCTCCTCCGCCCAGCGCCGCCGCAGCTCCACCAACTGCAGCGCCCGCCGCCCCACCGCCAGCGCCGCCGCACGCACGCGCAGAGCCGCCTGCAGAAGGACGGCCGCGCGGCGGTGGGCGCGGCGGCGCAGCGGCACAAAGTTCCACCTCACCGACCAGCTCGCGCGCAGAAAAACTTGGAGAAGGCGTGTGCCGCATCCATGCAGCCCGGCCCGGCCACGCAGACGGGCCGCCTCCAGCTGCTCTAACGCCCCAGCGTCGTGCACCTTCACGAGACCGGAGTCCTCCACGACGACGACGACCGGCGGCGCCTCTCGCAGCGGTGCGGGTATGCAGCCGAACACGTCGGCATCCAGTCGACTCAGCGAAGCGCGCCGCCACGCCCCTGCTGTTGGTGCTGGTGCTTCCTCTGCTTCCGCTTCGTCTCTAGCTGAGGCATGCGCGGTGTAGTCCACGGCCGCCGCAGAACAAATGAGTTTCGCCTGAATGACTGGTGCGAAGGTGTCGAAGTTTTCGAGGGACATGCGGAAGAGGGGCGGGAGTGGACGCCACTGCGGGCCCGCCGCCGCCTGCCGAAGGGGATGCGAGGGGAGGTGCGACGACACACGCGCGGCGTCCACGAGGGGACGGTAGCGCGCAATGAAGTCGCCCAGCGTGAACATCCCCACCGGCTCCCGCGGGGCGGCGGCGGGGGATGCCCCGCCGGCGTACGCCCTGCGCAGCACCGCAACCTCCGCCTCGCTGCGGCCCACCACCCAATGCGCCACCGCCCACGCACCGTGGCGCTCAAAGACCCTGTCCGACAGCACCGGCCAGACCCCGTCGCCTGCGGCTGGCGCCAGGCGAAAGAGCGCGAGGGTGTCAAACACGGCCAGCAGCCTCGCCGCCGTCGAGGAGAGCGAGGGGGCGAGTTCCACGCCACTCGCGGTGGCATTCTTCCCTGCGCGCTTGTGCCGCAGCGACCGCAGCCAATCCGACATGGTGATCCCCAGCAACACATTGCGTCGCGCCACAGGAGCTGCCACCAATGACGCAGGCGACACCTCCGCCGAGTCCGCGGCAGACTCCTCTGCACAGTGAAACCGCAGCCGCAGTGAACGCGCCGGCGGCAATGCGGCGGCCTCCCGGTCACCACAGGAGGCTGCGTTCACGTGCAGCATCAGGGCCGGTACGACCTGCAGCACCAGCCAGTGTGCAAGGGAGGCAAGGAAGTCGTGAAACGACAACCGCGAGGGACCAGTGAAGAGTTCGGCGTTTGCTTCCGCCCGCAGATGTGCCCACAACCAGTGCGTGGCGAGGCGCCTTCCCTCGCCGGAAGCGTCGCTGCTGCAGGGGTGCAGGAGAATGGCGAGCATCTCCGCCAAGTGCTCCCGCTGCGCTGGCGTGAACGGCAGTTCGGACGCACCGCCAGCGCGACTGCTATCCGCCTCATCGCGGTAACACGCGGCGCCTGCGTCGGACGATGGCGGCGGAGACTCCAGACAAGACTCAATATGCGCCACAACCGCCATCGCACGCAGGAGCCGCAGAATGCCGGCGCACGCATCGCCGTGGCCATCAGCGTCCCACCGCCGCAGATGCACGCCCTGCCGCTGAAACGCTCTAACGGTGCGATACAGAGCTTCCCGAGGACGGTCGTCTACGTGCACGCCGCTGGCAGAAGCCCACATCCCCATTACCACGTCGTCGTATTCTTCTTCGTCTTCGCTTGACAGCCACGACCGCCGCAGCGAGAGGAGGTGGCGCTGCACACGCCACACATGCTCCACGTCTAGCAGCCCCACTTGGACTCCGCCCCAGCAGCTGTCGCTGTCGCTGGTGTGGCGGCTAAGCAGGAGCCGCACCCCAGCGGATGGGGGAACCCAGCGGAGCAGCCCGTCCACCACGGCGTGTGTGCAGCGCCGCAGCACGGCGAGGACGTCCTCGACGCGGCACTGCTCCTCCCACGACACCGCGTGCCGCAGGGCAACCGCCTCCTCCAGCGAGGTTCGGAACAGCACGGCACACATCAGTTGCTCCCACGCAGTAATATCCGGCGACGCCGCCGCCGCCGTCGAGAGCGGGTCGGGCGAAAGCGTCTCTAGAGAAGCGCCGGGCCGCGGCGCGGGGGGGCGGAGAAACGCCGCACCAGCCCTCACCCCGCAGACGACGTCGAAGAGGTACGTGTGCCTCGCAATCATCGCCACCGTGCCCCACGAAAGGGCGACGGCGGAGGGGTCGCGGCACATCTCGCGGCGCCTCGGCTCCCCCGCGTGTTTGCTTGCGGCGTCGTCCGGGGCGAGAAGCACGCCGAAGCAGCCCCCCGTGACGGCCGGTGGAAAGCCGAAAACGCGGACGCCGCACGGGGCCGGCGCCACGCCGTGGGCGGAGGACGACGCCGCCAGCGGCGGGGAGGTGCCGCGTGGTGACCGCCGCCCCGGACTCCCGGCGTCGCTGAGGGGCGAAACCGACAGGAGCCGCGCGTCGTCGGGTGGCGGTGCGAAGGGTCTGCACGCCATCCACGCCGTCCCGCGGGGTACGTGCAACGCCGCCAGGCACGCGCACACACCGTCGCCTCGCTTCTTTGGCCTCTTTCTGCTCCGGCGACTCCACACACGGCGAGAGAAATGGCGAGAAGGAGCGGGACAACTACCGGCGCCCGTGCGCAGCGGCGATGTGGGGGGGGAAACAACAACGGCACTAAAAAAAAAGACAAAAAATATAATCTTCGCCTCCTCACCGCCCTTCTCCAAGTCCAGAAAACAAACTCAACACACGCACAAATGCATGCGGGGGAGCAGAACAACAACAACAAAAAAAGAAGAGGGATAAAGAGAGAGAGAGAGAGAGTCAACGCAGCTCCTTCTCCCGACTCCGTTTGTGTCCCTCAGGCTGCGCCGGCAGGGCGGCCGCTGCGGCGGGAGCGGGATCACGCCACGATGTCCGGTTGTTGGCGTTGCGGGTTCGAAGACAGCAGACGGCAGCGTCGCGCGCGGCCGCCGCCGATGCGGCTGCATCGCCAGCGGAGGCCCGCAAGCGCCACTCTGCCGCGCAGCGATCGTATAGCACGACGTTTACCGCCGCCGCGAGGTTTAAACTGCCTTGTGTGGGGAGAAACACCGCGGCGTGGCAGCGGGCGAGGGCCGCCTGCCCGATCGTTCCATCCTCCGCGCCAAACAGGTAAATGACCACCTTCGGCAGCCGACGCTCCCCGGGCTGCGCGGCGACGGCCTCGGCGGCGCGGAGGTGCGGGTGGTGGTACAGCGGCAGCAGCGTGGCGCCGTCGATCATGTCCACCGCCACCACGACGGCCTCGAAGGCGGTCGCGTCCTCCACGACGTCAAAGAGGCTCAGGATGTCGGGGATGACAACGTAGGGGCTGCTAAACCCGGCTGCCTGCGTGTCAGTGACCGGGCGGTGCCGCAGCGCCTCATGCAAGCGGCTGCCGGAGAAGATGAGACCGGAGAAGCCAAAGCAGCCGACAGCGCGCAGAATGCTGCCCACGTTGGCCGGCGTTTTGGGATTCTCCACCGCCACAAACACGCGCACAGGCGCCTCACCGCCACCGCCACTGACATTACCGTCCGCGGCCTCGCCGCAAAGCAGTCGCCGCAGTGCGGCCAACGCCTTCGCGTCCTCCTCGCCACCGACGCCCGGGTCCGGGGCGGCGCCCGCGGCGTGGCGAATCACGCCCGCCCGGCACGCCGCGACGCCTGTAATCGGCGCCGCCCCGGAGGAGGCAGCGCCTTCGAGGTGCTCGGCAAGGATGATACACGACGGTCGCCGCGTGCGTGCATCGGTGGGGGCGTGCAGGACATCACCGCAGCGGGTGCACCGCCACGCCGCAGCCGCAGCGGGGCCGTCGGCATCCAGCTGCTCCTGCAGCACGAAGAACGACTTCGCCCACGCGGTTTTCATTCCCCACTTTTTCCCCATTGTGCGCCCAAAGAAGAAGAAGATCAAATGCCCCTGCCTTCTGTTTCGCGGCCTCCACGCCTTCGGCTGCCGTTGCACGCACTGAGCGTTTCTCTCCCGCCCTTCACCACCCGCCACCTGCAGGAAGAACAAGTTGTGGAAAATGAAGTCAGAGGTATGCGGTGCACGCACCCACCCACCCACCCACACACCCACTCACGAAGCTACAAAAAAACAACAACAACAAATAGAGGTGTGGGTATGTGTGGGAGGTCAGTCGCAGAAACAGGGCGAACAGTGGAAAAAAAGGGGGGGAACAAATACGTTTCGCCAGCGCAAGCGGTGCGACCGTTGGCAGGAAGCACGACTCACCCAATAAAAAAGAATGTGGGACGGCAACGTGACGGCTGCTGCACGCCTCCATGCATCATGTGCCGCGACGGCCCTGCACGTAGGGCAGAGCGAGCGGCACACTGTGAACGGAGCCACGCCCCAACTCCTTGTAGTCGCCAGCGCACCGCAGCGTTTGCGGCGAATTTTTCCGCTGTGCCGACCGTCCACTTTTAGTCTCACCAGCCGGATCGGCGTCGGGCGCCTCTGCAGGGCTCTCCGCGTCGGCAAAGGTGCGAAGCAGCAGCTTCGACCGCCGCGTCACGAGCCGCCGCTGCCGCATCTTCGCGATGTCGTAGAGCAGGTCGGGGGCCATCAGGTAGCGGTCCAGCTCAAGCGTCTCGAGGGCCTCCTGCTGCTCCCTCCGCAGCGACGCCTCCGGATCGGTGGGCGGCGCCGTGGACGCGTGGCGCGTGTCGCCTGCCACCTCCGTGAAATAAATGCGGCTGCGGTAGTCGTCCGGGTCAAAGTTCAGGTCGCGCAGCAGGTAGCGGGCGAGGGCCTCCGAGGTGAGCTGAATGGTGGGGGAGCCGAAGACGATGCCGGTGCGACGCCCAAACGGGATGTGCATGCGGGCGACGAACGGGGAGGTGACGTGCGGCACCGCCGACGCCTCGTCCTCCTCGTCCTCAGCCGCTGCCGCCGCCGCCGCATCGGGCGGGGGGGCGATGCCGGCGTGCTCCGCCACCTGGTGGAGAAACTGCAGCACCTCCTCGTGCAGCCAGGTGCGGGGCATGTTGTGCAGGCGCACGGTGCGAAGCGTGCCGCGGGGGGGAACTGCGGCGGCGTCTTCGCCCCCCGCAGGGGGAGCAGGTGGCGGCATTGTGCTCTGCCGCCGCAGCGCCACCCGCAGCGCTCCAGCGGGGCGACGTCTAAACGCGCGGTCTCCGCCGTCCGCCGCCTGCGCGAAACGCCGCAGGAGTGGGCGAAGCCACAACAGCGGTGGAGGGCCAACGCCGCTTTTACAGCACAACCGCAGCGGACGCATTGCGCTCACGCCCGCCACTCCGAGCAAAGAAGCGGAAATGAAATTTTGGCCGTGCCTCGCGCCGCACCCCGCAGAAAGCCGCCAAAAAGGAAATAAAAAAAACAGACAACAAAATTGAGTTAGCGATAAAGAGAGCGGGAGAGTGACGCAGGCAAGAAGGAAGCGGGGGGCCTGGCATCGCCAAAGAAGCGGCAAGCGAGCCGCAGGGCTCACAGCCGCGCTACCTGCATTGGCTCATCGTCGGTAAGAATAAAGGCAGCGTCAAACACGCCAAAGAGAGGCTTAGGCAGAATGACTAACAAGAGAGGAACTACAGAATGTTTGAGGTTCATAAACTTTGTGTGTGTGTGTGTGCTTTTCACTTTCGTTTTGCTGTGCTTTGTTTTGCTTCTTTTATTATTTTTCCTCTGTTTTTCTCTTTCTTCGCTTGCAGGTTGCGCGGCGTTGTCTGCAGAACCGGCGAGGCGCATGCGGGCCGCTACGGCAAACCCGCACGCGGCGGCAAGTGCGACAGCAGCAGCCCGCTGGAGCGAACAGAAAACAACCCGCTGGGGACCGAAGGGCCCTCAATCCGCGACGGCTCGTTATGCAGCTGCGTGCGGATGCCCGCGGCGTACCTCCTGAAGGTGTCCCGCCTCGCCGCGGCGGCGGCCACGCTGCGCGGCGTCCTTCCCAGCGTAAAGGGCCGTGGCACCGTCAGCTGCGGCCTCCACGTGGAGGCGTCGCTGTAGCGGCGGGCCTCCTCATCCTCCGCGCGCCGGCGCCGCTCCCGCGCCTCCCGCGCCTCGCGCATCCGCTGCAGAAAAGCGTCCGCCCCGCTCACCTCCGCGACGCGGCACGATAAATCGCAGTCGATGCTGCCCCCACGCCCCAGCGACTCCCGCGGCTCGAACGGGCACGCCGCCTGCTCCCGCAGCAGCGCCTCGTAGACAGCCTGCAGGTGCTTGGCGTCTCGTCGCTCCTGCCACAGCGCCAGGCGGCGAAGCAAATGCTCCTGTCGCTCAACGCCGCCGCGGCGCAGCGACGTGGAACGCGTCGGCTGAGGACTACTACGCCCCTCCCTGAAAAGTCTAACGGGCGGGGATTGCTCTTCCTCTTCGTTCCCCTTCTCCCACTGCGGCGGCGGCGAAAGCGCGGCGGCGTCCGCGGAGTCCGGCTCCCCGCGCAGGACGCTCTCCACCAGCGCCTCGATATCTACCTCCTCCTCCTCGTCGTACCCGTCACGAGCGTCGCAGGCGAGCGCCTCTTCGCTGGCAAAGCGCGGCCCCGTGGCGCCGCTTGTGCGCTGCGGCTGCGGGCCAGCGCCACTCCTGTCGGCAGGGGGCATGGGGCGCTGCGTGGGCGCCGCGGGGAGGCCCAAGTAGTGATCCACCAGCCGGTCAATGTCTGCCGCCCGCGCCATCTCCCGTCACCCGCCGCGGTGAATGCACCCGCCCCAGTCAGAGGGAGAAAGGGAGAGAAA